AAAAAAAAAAGTGCATGCAGTAAGTGTTTAACTCTGGATACTTAAATGGGACCGGGGGATGAAAAGACATGTTCACATTTTACCTAATAGTCCTTTTTCTATATTGTTGAAATTTACATCAAGCTTGCATGTCTGTAATTTTAAAAAAATTAGTTATTGCATATAATAATTACATGAATTCCATAAGAATTAAAAATTGAAAAAAATAGCTTAAACGTTTATCTTCATGTTGATGTACACACTCTTCAAATGATCTGTAATCTTCAGCAGAGGTGACTGCCATTTTAAAGAAATTCAACTGACCAAACAGTTCATGATACGAACAACAATATATAAAAAGCCTTTTTTAAAAATCGTAAACTCCACAGAACCAGCAGACTCTCAGCAGTGTCTAAGCATATGTAAACATAAAATAAAATTAATGCCTGGAGAGGGAAATCTCCTAAATAGAGTATTCTTCTTTACCTCCTCCTCTTTTCTTTAACTTGGTCTGAGCAGCTTTAAACTCACCATTTTGGATGTGCGCAAAATGACTAAAAGCAGTAATCTTAAGGAGGCCACGAATGAAGGTACATCTCCCAGAGGCGTGCTCTGACCCGACATCGTTAGTGGAGGGGGAGCATAGATGGAATGGTGCTAATGTCAGGAGAAGAACGACTGTTACGGTTTGTACAGGGTGTCTGCGTGCCCGAGCCTCGGTGACAATCGGGGGAAATGCAAACACAGCCAGCAGAGCAACGGCAACCGAAGGATTTTCGGGAGACGGGGGGCTGCAGGCCTATGGCGTAAGGTGGATAAGCTCTATAGGTGGCTGGAAATGGGCAGAGAAGTGGGTGGGGGTGTTGTGAGGGGAAGAGTCGTACAGTCGCGAGTGTGGGGAGAAAAGCAGCGGGGTCCTTGGCCAAGGTACCAAGGACAGCAGAAGAAGCTGCAGGAAAAAGCCACGTTGGAGACCCCCGATACCGACCTATGTCATCCGCCGGGGGCAGCGGGCGCGGCGGCCACTGACAGAAGTGCGGCCCCGGGTCCGGGCTAGACAGGGCCCAGGAGGCGAAGAAGGCCTCTTACAGCCATCAACCCCACCCACCATGGCCGGCGCAGCGGGCCAGGGACAGGCCCAGCTCCCTCTGGAGGAGAGAAATTAAGAAACGGAGGAGGTGAAGGCAGCAATTTCCTCAACCCGGGCCCTCACATACCCGACATCAGAACAAGACACATTTTATAATAAAAAAAATCCCCTCACCGATCTGTGCAGCGGCTCCGGAGCGAGAGCAGCGCTGGGTCCTCCACCCGCCACCACCGCCTTCTTCTCCGCCTCCGACTCCTCCCCCGCCGAACGCGCAGCGGCAGGTGGCCGCAGCGGCAGCAGCGACAGCGGCGGCGGAAGCAAAGGAGGAGGCGGCGGATCCCGCCCCTTGCGCCGCGGTAGAGGAGAAGGAGGAGGACACCCAAGCCCCGCCCCCAGGACAGCAACGACCAATAGGCTTGAAGGACCTCTGCGTGGGGGCAGGAGGAATCCACATATCCAATCGAAACCCGAGGAGTGGGCTTACGTCCATGGTTGGGACGTGGCAGAAAAAGGGAAAAGAAAAAAATGACTGTCTTTACACCCTGGCCCTCCCTTCTCGGTCAGGGAGACTTCACAGATTGGCGCAAGAGCGGAAGGACGAAGCCACACTCTTTCCCACCCTATCCCCCCAGCCTGGGCCCGCCTCCTTTCCCTGCAGCACTGCGACGTTTGGGGGGCAGAGGGGGGGCGGAGCACCGTGCTGGGCTGGAACTGCACGGCCTTTTGTGGTTTGGGCTGGGAGAAGAGGGCGGGGTCTCGCGGAAAGGGAAGGGGGTGTGGAGAACTAAGGGAAGGACTGGCGCAACTGGACTTTTACAGAAATTGTTGTACAACAGCCACGACCAAAATGCAGGCATTAAAATCAATGTTAATTAGAGTGGAAAGCTAACAAGGTTAAGATCCCTTGGCATAACGTTCAATTTGTTGCAGTTCAGATATAAGCGGAATGAGAAAAAAATAGATGGAGGAAGGGCACGATTGCCTACCCTGACTGCGCACGATATAATGCCTTTTCCCCTCCCATCCTGCAGTCATACCCTCACCCCCTCATTGCTGATTCTATTGGGGCGGGGGCAGGGTATAAGGAAGGCTTGTGTTTCCTCCTTATAGCCATGGCCGGACCAGAGCCTTCCACTTTTCATCTTGAGGCTGATTAGTTGTCAAGCTGGGAAGTAACCGCTCCCATCACATGCAACTAAAGTAAATAGAACAGCTGTGTAGTCTCTGAGCACCTTGCTTAATTTAAACCCGGGTAACAGTTAATCATGCCAGTGATATTAAATTGTTTCTTTGTCCCTCACATGTCCTCTCTTTTCATCCTGAACAAGTGGGCTTTTCTATAGTAATTACTGTCTCGCTTTCCTCCCATCTTACTCCCAACCCCCTCCACACACTCAGTGCCCAGGACATATTATTTATCGCATCCCCTCCCCCAAGAATTAAGAACCCCACTTCTTGTGCTGGCCCTGGCAACTGCAAAATCCCCTGCCAGGGAAATGAAACGTTTTTGTTTTGTTTTTGTTTTTTAGTGTTGATGAAAATAAATTACCCAAAATTTACTATAGAAATTTAAGTTATGAGAATTTGCTAGACATATTGTGAAACCAAATCTAAGTCCCAGTCCACCCCTGTAGTACGTTTCTTATCAAGAAACCATTTTCCACTTGATATTTCTCTGCTTGACACATGTTGCTCTATAAATTGTGGCTCTTTTTCCATCCAACTCTCTCCCTCTTTGAAAGATAATTGATACTTTAATCATATTTCCCTAATCTCCTTTTTAAATGTTGCATGTTAATCCAGTTGGATACACTAACCTGTTTGTTGGTGCAGGGTTTCCCAAATTTCAATCTTTCTCATACCATATCTGTGTATGCGACTCACAGTATTATTTATAATTTTCTTTAAATAAATGCTAATTTTTTTTCAATTTCTTTAAGAGATAAACTTTATAACACCAGTAGAAATGGAAAATCTCCATCACTTACCGGAAGCTAAAAGTAACTGTAAGAAAATGAACAGAAAACTGTGTTTTTAAATTCTGGCTAGAAACTATTGTCTAATCTCTGAACTTAAAGCCCACTCCCTGTAAAGGGGGAGCTTACCAAGCAATAGGCACATATTAAAGACCAAGCACACAAATGGCATTTTTATCATGATGTAATCAAAGGGTAGACAAATAGAACCAAAATAGGAATCACTTTTTCACCATGTGAGTCGTTGTTTTTAATCCTGCATGCATATCCCAACTAAAGTCATCCAAGGCATCAGAAGTGATCATTATTACTCTTTAGGACACACTGTTGTGGAGGCTTAAAGCATGTATTCTAGAATCAAACAGACTATATTTTTATACTAGCTCCTGCATTTGGAGTTGTGTGTTTCTGGGCAATCTACTTACCTCTCTGGTGACAATTTAAATATTGGGAAGGAATAATGCCTACCCATGGGTCATTGTGAATCAAGATAGGTAGCCTAGGAAATTGACAACCCCCTCCAGGGTACAAGGTGAAGTGCCTCACTGGTTATACAAGTAACAAATGACTGTATTGAATATCTGCAGCTTGAGAAAATAAGAACCAGTTTCACCCAGCTAGGCTGGGTCACTATGACTGGGACCAGACTTTTAGCTAATTATATTGTCATTATAATCTCATTTACATTGCAGTTACTATGACTCCCATCACACACTTGATGCCATCACAGTTCCAGAGGAACCAAATAAAGAAGAAGAAAGCAGGAAACTGAGGGTCCTGGCAAGGTGAAGAGATGAGTGAACCATGTCAATGGGAAGTCACCAATTCCCAGGGAGGGTTAAAAACCCCTGACCAATGACTTCCTCATGCAACTTGTTTTCCGAGTTCGCCCGCACTTTCCTCTCAAGTGTGCACTTTCATTTTCAATAAATCACTTGTGCTTTCTTGCATCTGTGTCACTCTTGAATTCTTCCTTTCTTGGAGACAAGAACCCAGTCACCACTGCTACAGATCGAATCCTCTCTTGGACATCCCTGTGAGCCTCCAGCGACAATTGTATAGATTAAAATAACCTAATGAATGTAAAGCATATCATACCTAGTATGTAGTAAGTGCTAAATACGTATTATTATAGCTTACGTAGTGTATTATTCTGTGTATAGAGAGATAACATGTATTATTGACATATATGTATTATTATTATTTGACTTATATGTATTTTTATTATTATTGTTGATTCCAGAAGTGAGAAGCACTCCCTAAGGCATTGGGTTTGTTGATGTAAGAAATGTCCAAACCTTTGGAGAACTTCAATGAGTTTACTTGAGCCAAACTGACGACAATTGCTATGAAGCAAAATCTCAACTGACTAAGAAAATGCTCCAGAGAGTGGCAGTTTTGCAGCTTATTTTATACATTAGAATCAAAGAAAGAGACATAAGAAGGGTTACATGAAATCCATTGGTGGTAGATTAAGGAAGTGGGAGAAAGCAAAGCTAGTAAATCTCTGGGATTGGATAAAAAGAAAAATGGAGAGATGTATACTTCTCTTACATTGGTGGGTACAGGATAGTTAATAATTTTATAGCACTTAGAGATGGTATTTGGGAACAAGATAATGAGGGGTTCTGCTGTCTTGTGTTCTGGTATAGTGGGAGATTCCAAGAGTATGTTATCTTAGATGCAAAAAGACATAGACAGGCTCACTTAAGGTAAAGATCAACCTTTGTCAAGGAAGCTACAGGCCAAGGATGTGACTATCCACCATGACCTACTTTTAGTTAAGAATTTTTATGTTGAGATCATCCTATGAGGTTAATTTCTATATCAGTTTGTAGGGCCTGCCATGCAGACCTCCCCTGAACTTGTCAGGTTTAGTATGTGGCCCCTTTTCTGTCCACAGGTTGAAGATATCACATGGTGTAATGCAGTGGTTCTTAAAGAGTGGTACCCCAGACCAACAGCACCAGCATTAACTGGAATTTTTTTTTTTTTTTTTTTGCTGAGCTATCTTGTCACCTGTTGGCAGCTCAGTGGCAGCTCAGCTTGGGCCGGGACTCGAACTGCTGTTGCTCAGAACTTGCACTTTTGAGTGAGCTCTTAACCAATTGAGCCACTAGGCTGGCCCAGAAACTTTTTTAAAAAGCAAATTCTCAGGTAGGTTCAACCTCAAGCCTGAATTGGAAACTCCAAGCGTGAGGCCCAGGAATCTGTATTTTAGCAAGTCTTCCAGGTGACGCTAATGCACATAAAGTTATACATGCATTGTAATAGAAAGAGGATTGGCCAAGAAGTGAGAGGACCTGAGTTCTAAATTACAGCCTTAGAGTGACATCAGCAAAAATGGAGGCATAAGGGCTTTTGAAAATTCTTTTCTCCACAAAAACAGTGAGAAAACTGGCATAATTGTCAGAATCAACTCTTTCAGCACTCTGGACATTAGCCAAAGGCTTGCAGCAGTCCAGGAAGGATTTATTCAAGAAAAACAGCTGAATCTCAGAAAGAACAGTGAGCTTTGTGATGTTTTGACTTGTTCTAATCCAATTCCCTTGTCTCCAGCTCTGCTGTAGCATGGAAAAACAACCCACAATTATGGTGAAAGCAAGCAGCCTGGCAGCCATCAGATGAGGCAGAATAAGGCTGGAACTCCTTCAAAGTCTAATTCCAAGAGAATAGTCATTATTTCACCTATCTGGTAGTTCCCTAGAAGATCTCACTTGCCAGGCTGTCTTCATTTGATTTGATTCAGAATCAATCCCAGAGCAAAAAAAGCCTTTTCCCTAGAAGCATTTGTCAAAAACAACGAGATGGAATTGATTAACTTTGCTGTGGCCGTAGGCAATGCAAACAGTTGGGGCAACAATAGATTAATCAAAAAGCTTAAAAGGAAAAAGCTGGGGAATGTCTGTCAAACTTTGAAAAGCTCCAACATATTCATGGGAATCCAGAAACCCACATACATGCCCAGTGTTGTGCTAAACTAGGAAAGACCTGAGAAGCATTCACCTTAAGCTGACCTTGAGGGTCTGTATAAACAAGAAGCGAAGACTAAGGGAGAGTTGACAACTGCCTAGCTTAGTGTTAAAGTCTTGCCCCAACACCAACACAGACCCTCAACAAACACTGGGAGACATATTAGTTCCAGGCATTAAAGAAATCTCTGTCTAACCATTAGGTGAACACTAAGCTAACCAAGTGGAATCTTCCATGCAGCATAGGAAGAATATAGGCTTTACAGAAGAAGTTCAGAAAAGTCAACGAACAAATAAAAAGCAACAACCATAACAAACAACAACAACAACAGACACTAGGAAGGAGCAAGAATCTGATTTCCAGAGTTTTCACATTATATATATTTTTTAAGTGTCTGGTTTTCAACAAAACCAAAAGTTGGTTTTTCATAAAGATGAACAAAATTGACCAACATTTAGTTAGACTAACCAAGAGAAAGAGAACACTCAAATGACTAAAATCAGAAATGAAACAGAAGATATTACTACTAACTTTAAGGAATAAAAAAGTTATTATAAGGGGAAACTGAGAGCATCTGTATGCTAACAGGTTGGAAAACCTAGACAAAATGAACACATTTCTAGA